TTTTTTCACACCTTTTTTGCATTTTCCCTAGGGAGAGCAGCATTTTCCTAAAACCCAGGTGTCCCCAGGAAAAATGCGAAAAAAGTGTGAAAAAAGTGTGAGAAAAGTGTAGAAATAGTGTCTCCGGCAGGAGCTCCTAGGCGTGGCGGACTGTGGAACAAGTACGAAAATGCAAAACGGCCTTGGCAGCAAACGTTGCAAATGATATTCTCTGCCGACAGGTTGGACGAAGCATCACAGACCTATACTTCCGCACACTCACATGCTGGGATAGTGCCCTGTCAACTGATGACGGTGACTCTGCAGTAAGATAATACTCCAATGGAACTACGGACTATATTACTATATTGTTGATGCGCCCGGCTGTACCTGTTCCTCCTCTTCTACTACTAACTATAGTCCTATATCCGAATGCTACATTATAGGTACGCATTATCTACATTTTTTGCACTTTATTTGCACTTTTTTTACACTTTATTTACACTTATTTCACACTTCTGCCACCTACCCTTACAATTTATTTACACTTTTATCACACTTTATTTACATTTTTTACACTTTATTTACACTCTCCCGTACACGTATTTCACACTTTATTCACACATTTAATGATCTGACAGCTATCCAACGTTAACAGAACCAGGGCGTCTTAAGTGTATGCACATCTTTCGCATGGGCACGAACAACACCCAGCCACGATTCGAACTTCGACAGCAAGCAAGTTCTGTGCTCCAGTGGTCGTTTCATGCCGTCGCACGAGTCTCGCAGTCTTCTTGCTGCGGTTCCACGACACACACACCTGCCAGCCACGCAGGTCAGGGACAAACCCACTTTTGGACGCATCTCTTCTCCCTCGATGACACTCGATGAGATCACAACGCAGCAGCAAAACGAACACGCCTCACCTGCGTGGTCTCCGAGAACCCCTGCGCAGTCATCCATGAGCCCGGCCTGTCCATCATCCCTGGCCCCTGGCAGGGCTTTCGCTCGCAAGGTCTGGACTTCGGATCTGGAGACACCGGCAGAAAGTGCTGTTCGTGCCAGAGATCTTGAAGCCGGACTATCCGAGGCAAGCACACATCGATGGGAATAGGCTGTCGATTCTTGACCGCTTCTTTGAACATGGCCTGGGGAATGGAAGCATCCCGCACCAACTGATTGCAGTGACAAGGGATGAACTGCAAAGACACCCAAATCATACGCCTACGGCAAGCATTGCAGGAGATATAGCTAATCCGAGGAACCCCCTGCCATAAATGCAGCCACAGCCACATGGGCTTCGCCCCACGCCTTCTGGAACCTGTGAAACTGTGCATCAACACTGGGCCAGTATGCTTATGCCAAATGTAGTCCACAACCAACTCTTCGTACGGATTTCTCAAAGAATGCAGCAAAAGCAAAGCCAACCCGAGGGAAAAGCAGCTCAAGGCTGTCTGGCCCTCAAGTCCACAAAACCAGCCAAGCTTGAAGCAAGCAGCTGCTTGCTCTTGTCTTGATCTCGCTGTCGAGCCTGCGCAACGGCAGACACGCACACTCAAGGCTGCATTGTGAACTCACCTGGCGTGGCTTGAAGTTCGCAAAACTCCGTACGGTGCATGGTCGGGCGAGGTGTCCTCTATTCCTTGGACGTCGATGGACGGCTCCCCTTTCAGGATCCTGCTCCACCACACCTGATGCAGCTCTCACCACGCAAACGAAGGGAGCGGCACCGCGCCAGCGCAAACATCACAGTGTCACTCCGCTGTCGCATTCTGAGACACACGCTGCCACGGACATCCCCCCAGGCATGGTGGCCTCCGGCACAAGGATGCAGAACTTAAGCTTCTCTTGCCGAGGCGGCCATCCGCCGAAAGCCCCGCCGAAAGCCCCGCCGAAAGCCCCGCCGAAAGCCCCGCCTTCCGCACCAGGAGACGCAAGGCCCGCCGCTCCTGGCAGGTGACGAGCTCCCAGTCCGGGTCCTGTCAGCTTCCGAAGGCACACCCTCCCTCTCTGGCTCTATGTCTCCCTTTCATCCAGGCTTGTATCAGGATCCCCTCACTTTCTGAAACCATTTAGGCCGTGCTGCCCAGCTGGCCTCTTCTGGCGAAACCTGGCTTTGCTTGGGCACTTTCGACCTTTTTCGTATAATACATAATTTCGTATGTTACATTGTACTCTATTCTACTGCTTATTATACTGTCGAACGTTGGATGATACGGATGTTAGGGAACTTCTTCAGAGTGCCCCTTTGGCGCACATCGCCCAAGACAAGCTTCTGCCGACATGGACCGCAACCTGGCGCCCCTCAAAGACATCACGTCCGCACCAGAAGAACTTCCCTACTCGGCTTTATGCTTGGACATAGTTTGCCCGCAACGTTTTGTGTGCCCTCGGCGCCTTGAACTCCCAGTCGCCCTCCAAAAAAGTTTGCCCAGCGCCGGAGATGCGCAAACGAAGATCCGAGACCTCCACCTCAGGAGGCTTGAGGGCGAAGGCGCGAAGACTTCGTATCCCCGCCCCGGACCGGAGCCTTGATGTCCTTGGCCTTTGTGTCCGGCGGCACGAAGAGGTTGATCTCTACTGCCTCCTGCGTCTCACGGACAACTTGTGCGAAGTCCCTACGACCCCTACGAGCAGGCAATGTACCCACGTAGTTTCCCAGAGACGCGATGGCAAGACGCCTTCGTCTGGGACCAGACATATCTGCCCTCAACGGTGCCTCCTCAGCAACAAGATTCTCAGGAATCTACGGCGAATCTACGGAGCAGATCGAGGCGTGAAAGGTCTTGGCCAGTCCGTGCTTGGGCGGTCAAAAAGCGAAACCCTCATCCGAGGCGCGTGCCGTTTTGCTGCGGGTCCGCCTGAAGAGATGGGCAGTCGGGCAGCTCAAATCTAATCTAAATTAAATGTTCAGCATTAGTAATGCTGAACATCAAGGCACACCTACAAGAGATCCGATCGGCAGGTTCGGACAGGCTTCGACAGCCCGCTGCAACGGTCCTGTGTTGCAGTGGGCTGTCGAGGACTGTAGATTTCAGCCTTAGGGCCTTAGGTTCCTTCAGGACCGAATAGACTGTATACTGTATACATGGTTAAGGAGTGGAAAAAACTACCAAAAAGTTGTGCTCACTCTGAGAACGGGGTCAACTTCCCCGAGTAGAGAGTTGCAACTGCGCCTTCGCGGGCTCGGCACGCTGGGCTGTAGCCACAGTAGAACCGAGCTGCACCCGAGCAGCCCTCAGCAACTCCTGCGGTTCGCAGCAGGGGCCCCAAGGGGACAGTCTGATGGTCGTAGTCAAGGGCCACCCCCGGCCTCAACACCTGGGCAATTGCTTCCTCCCAGGCGCATGGCCTGCGCTTCTTGGAGACTGCGATCTGGATCGTGAAGACACTTGTAATATCAACCTACACACGGCTCTGCAGACATTGAATCATGGAAAGTGCCACCTACGTCTGGCGAACTGATCAACTCGCACTGCCGCAGCCATACTTTCTACTGGCGACGCGGAGCAGGTCGCGCGCACAGTGCGCGTCGAGCTGTGCATTGTACAACTTTGGAGAAGGGAGTTGGAGAGCGGACGCCAGAGCCTTAGGCCATTTTCGGTATGTTAATGTCTCAATGGACAACTTCAGGGAGAACTCTGCAACTTGGTGATTCAGTTCGTGGCATCTTAAAGCCTGATGTCCGCAAAATCAACGACGTCAAGCTCGCTAAGCGGCCCCCCACAGCAAACGCCACACAGGCACCAAGGTGCCTCGAAAAAGCTGCATCCGGTGATAGCACCAAGTTTAGAGCCCTGGCTCTCCGCATGAGACCGACAAATGAAGCCCCAAAGTGAAGAGACTTTGATGATCACAGCAGGCTCAGCTTGCCAGCCCTGCGTGTTTGGAGAAGGACCGCACCAGAATGGAAATCCACCACAACTTGGGCAGCGCGACCCCCCCCCTCCGGCCACCCCCTCATGTCCGCGAATGTCTCGTAGCATCAAGTGCCCTCATCCTCGACATCTGGGCAGAGTGCTGGAGCATGTAACCCTGCTCGTTTCTCCAAGCCTTCTCAAGAAGACGCACTCCCTCGGCAGCATCTCCATTCCTGCACAGGAGTATCCAGCACGCGCAGAAACCCAGCCTCGATGCGAGGCCCCGCTCTGGGATTCTCGCCACAAGGCTTAAAACGTTTCCTCCCAAGACCGCTACGGATGACCCACACACTCCTGAGGGCCCGCTCGGCCAAAGCGCGGCACTGGAGAACGTCCTCAGTCGAACGATGCTCCTTCTTCGCGACTCCAGTACTGGACATGAGATCTCGAGTCTACTGCTCGCTGGACTTCAGAACATCTGCAACACCAAGGGCTATCCAGCTGACATCCTTGTCAATCGGTCTGATCGAGTCGCTGGGCCTAGGCTCCGCACCTCTCGTCGGTCCTCCCCTGGCTCGGCGGCATCGTCCTCGAAACTGAGACTTCGCAACTTCTGAGGCTCTCTGCCTCACGGCACGACACAGAACAAAAACTTGTGACTTGTACCATTCATATGCACATGTTCCCGATCCCTTGCTCTTAAACTCCTGCACTGGCTTCTGCCTCTCAGGGTGTGATACAGAGACCAATGCTCCTCCGTCTCGAATGGTTCGTCGTCATCATCAGCCTACCGCCATTCGAGAAGCACGAGGGTTCATAGATCCGCTTCAGAGCCGCCGGAACACGGATCCATCCCAGGGGCCTCCATGTCGACATCCTGTGCTTCTGCTGCCTGCACCTCCTGGCGCAGGCACAACCAATGACCATAGCGTAACCCTAAAGATGGCCGGATGGTGTGTGCCGGACACACAGTCCATTGCCCTGCACCCCCAGGTGACGAGACTCTGATTCTCCAGTGGCCTGGCGTCCGATTGTGACGGTCTGCGGAGTGTCGAACCTGGCATCTGAACTTTGGTGCCGAAACCCACGTGGCCCTTCTCCTGCTAGGACCTCCTCGAATGCTCACTGCTGCCCGGCCACTTCGACACGTGAGGTCGGCGTCGCTCTTCATCATCACTGACATCCTAAGCCAGCGGAAAGTCTCGGGCATCTGATGGCCGCACCACTGGAACTGAGTGTATGACCAGGTCATTCCATTTGGAGTAATCCACCATGGCCAAGTTTACTACAGCACTCACTGTGCAACTCGCCGTACTGTGGCTTGGGGTTTGGTCTGCACCTTCTTACGTGGAGCCTACCTGCGAAGTACTCTCAGGTTTCATCACGAGCCAGACTCTGCGCAGCAGGAGCCGCTCCAAAGAACTGGTAAGGTTAGGCCGTGGATTCTACGAGGGCTTCTGGGCACTGTGAACTCAGGTTAACGGTCTGTCTTTGTCCACGTGCACCCCCTTCCCCAAGCAGGGATCTCCAGCTACCGATGGCTACTGTAAAGCAGTTCCCTCTCGATTTCCTCAAGCCCGACTCCGTCATAAAGCCACCGGTAGCATAGAAGTGAGTGCAACCGTTTAAACTCCGGGAGGTCGTCCCGTAGCGGGAAGCACGCATACATCCAACGTCCTTTGCAAGAACCTGACAGCGGGACCCGTCCTCCTCGGCACGACTAAAACGTTCGCGAAGCTGTCGAATTAAGGTCTGTGCTACCGCGGCTCTGTGGACATCAGGGCATCTTGCGGGCAAGTCTATTCTCAGACTGCTTGCATAACCTCAAGGGCTAGATTCTGGATTCCGACGGCGGATGCCTCGTCGCTCTTCTAAGGGATCGTGTCAAGAGAAACACAAAAAGACCCAGGCCTCGTGATGGACGACCTCAAACCTGTGTCGACTTGTTGCCGCTGCGTGCCCTGGTCGCAGCCTTCTTCCTACACCTCCGGGGTGAAACTTCCATGCCTCCCTCTTGACAGGACGCGGACTGGATGCCAAAAGATGCAAAAAGCAAGGGCGACTGGCATCATCTGAACATCGGAATCGGAGGCTGATCGCGCCTGACGGCTTGGAGGGCACTTTCCAGAAGCTTCGGAGCGGCTCTGCTTAGCGCATCCGTGCTCTTTAGGGCCTTTTCCAGCAAGCACCGCTACGGCCGCTACGTGCTCCTAGACTCTCCTCTTCTCCGCGGGGCGGCGATGCTCGCGCTATGCCACGACCAAGGGGAGGCTTCATCTGAACCTCCTCCAGAAAGAAAGCGCCTCCAGACTCCGGTCAGCCTGTTTGCGGTGACCGTGCCCTGCAAAGAAGGCAGCTGCTACTGGTACCAGCTCTCGGCGGTTCACTTGCGTAAATGCAGCATTGACTCTCCGAAGGAACCCAACCGAAAGCCCGGGACGTCGGATTCCGAGCTAAGCCACACCGCGAGACAGCGACGCACTTGACACTAAGCAGCTTGCAAGAGAACAAGCCATGTGCCAAGAAAGGGCTCGGGAGCATCTTTGCGAAACTTTGGGCGACTGCCCTGAACGGCAGTCAAGCTGACCCGGATCGGTCAAGGCATGATTTTTCCTAGCAAAAACAAAAAAGGAGCCATCAAAGTATTTCAGTATTCCATTTGCAGGTTTCGTGGATATACCGCTCAGGAGGGCAACTTGCAGTTGTGGCCCGGCGCCCATAAGCAGAAAAAGGTTGCAGCAAGCAGCTGAGGAAAGGTGCCTCTGCATTAAAATATGCCAGGGCTCGGGTCCAGGCGAGAAGATGGGCTTCAGCTTTGTACCCCATCTTCTCCTAAAGCCTTTCAGGTGCAGAGCAGGTCGCCCTTTCGCGTGCTTCTTGAGCTATGTACTACCCTGGCGTGTTTCTTGCACTGCACCACTGGCAAAAAGTCGAATTATCATCCTACTGCCCGAGCCCGACTTCAACCCCCAGGCCGGTCCGGCATAGCGAAACGAGCCTTCTGACGCCTTCGAAGGGCCTTGGGCCTTGGGGTGAGTCGGGCCGCGGGGCTCTGCCATCTCCGAGAACAGGTGCCCGGATTGCTGGAAGCTCTTAGGCTCAAAAAGCTGCGAAACAGATGGGAGCCGGCGCAATGCGACTTCTGCACGATTCGTGTTGAACTACACATCCCTCGATAGCACTCTCTCAATGTCACGATGTACTTCCCATGTCTTACATTCTCTGTAGCTCCACCTGCTGCAAGAAACCTCTTGCAAACCCTCCAACCCTTCAGAATTGAAATTCTACCACTTGGGTTGAGGGGACTTTTCGACGAACTCTGTTGCGAGGGATGCCTACGTCGAAACTGCAGAATACAAAACAATCTGAAATATCTTTGTCTCAAACCAAGAGGCGATGTCGAGTGTCACGCTTCATCTTCACAATCCCAAAAAAAGCCATCGACCCGCAGGATGATAAGTCCACGTTTTTCGAACATCAATGTGTTACATGGTGGTGCCATCAGGCTCCCCGGCTCCCCTCACGACCCCGGTTTGGGCCGTTTTAGGTCCATGCGACGCGCGATTCATGGTGTCGACGCCGGTCCTGCCGCAGAAGACCGCATGGCCGCCCTTACCACATGACCGCAATTGGGATTCCTTGCCTGGGATTGTGTAGGAGGCTCTGAAGGCGGCAAAATGGACGGCGGCCTATAGGGCCTACCAGTAAGAGGCTTTTAGAGATACCTGGCCCACCACGCGACCCAGATGGGGCTCCCCTCCCTCCGTCCCTCCCCCCTCTTTGCACAAACGCAAGAGACATCCGCCCCGAGAGTGAGAGTCTGAGATCGTCCTTGACCGGCGGCATGAAGTACTCACAGCCTGAGAGGACTTCCACTCTCCTCAGCCTGGGCCCCCCCTGCATTTTTTCCCCAGGAACTCTGAGGCGACGGGCTCAGGAGCTCGGTGGCTGTAGGCCTGGCGCGTGCCGAGAGCCCTTTGAGAAATCGATTCAGTTTTTGAGGGCCCAAAACAAGTTCCCGGGTTTTCTACGCCCCGCAATTTTTGCCGGCCTGAGATCGGCACTTCGCTGAAGGCAGCTTTGGAGCAAGGCCAGGAGGCCGGAAGAAGTGCCCTCCTTAGCTCTCGCTCTTCGGCTCTGCCAGGAAGCCCCAAGCCAGTTGCTGCGGAGGAGCGGGGATGGGTGGAGTATCGGTCGAGTAGCCAATCTTCCTGTCAATGTGTTTCAGCGGGCGGCTGCCGGGACTGCGCATGTCGGGAATGATGGGAATCGCTGAAAAGGGAGACAAACAAGGCTTGTACACGACTTAAAACGACTTACAGTGGCAGACAACACCCGCGTTGGCAAAGTCAAGCGAACACTTTGAGGGGTGTCAGAGGGCGCATGGCAACACGACTCGCAGCCGAAGCTGTGGAAGCACGGCAGTGTGGGAAATCCGGATGCTGATTCATTCACGCCTAGGTGTTCGTGGATGCTAGTGCAAACGGCTTGAAGGCTCAGTACTGCTGCTTTGTTGTCAGCGTCCACTGCGGAACCTGCTTCCAGTTCGCTCAGCACAGCTTGGAAGTTGTGCATCAGTGGTCGAGAGGCAAATCTTGATGACTGAACTGCACACTCTGTCGCAGTCGGTTCAATGCGTCATGTTGCAGCATGTCCCAAATCAGCGAAGGACCCATAGAGAAACAAAACGGTCACACCATTCTCCATGTGCATGGGCAATGTTAGCACGGGCGTGCAGTCATGCGTTCGCTGAAAAATTGATACGACAGTTTTGCATACTGGTGTAGAATGCGACATGTGAATACTAGTACTAAAACTGCTCCATCAGACCGATGATGAATAAGATTCCTCAGTTCCTCATCTCTTTAGCTTCTTCGGCCTCATAGCTGCAGGGGCGCCATCGATGGCACCTCAAAACCGTGGGGCTGGAACTGGCAGCGTCTGCATTAATTGCAAGCTCAACATTCCATCTCCTTGTTTGAACCCTTTTCCATAAGCCTCAGACCTTTGCCCCATGGAGGCTCCGCCGTCATGGCCTCCAGGACCGTGCAGCCGAAGCTCCAAATGTCTGCCTTCCAAGCGGGGTTAATTACATTTTCGTGAGTCCTGAGTTGGCCGGGCCAACTCAGGAGTCGCACAGAAAACGCCCTGCACCTTGCGCCCGAAGCCAGTGGTCCCCAAGACGACCTTACCGGGCGCTCGAGACTCGGCTTCTCCACTTGCTTTGCGAGCACAAACATGGCAATTTCCAAGCAGAGCTCGCACGGAGCGCGAGACAAAGAAGCAGCCGAGCTCCCTTCTTTTGTGTCACGAAGCATGCATTCAGGTCTTGAGGACAGGGCAAGTGCTCCCGCTTCAAACCAGCAGGCATACAGCTATAACACGCTATGACTGTGAGATGCCATGACTGGGTATCCTCCGAACCAATGCAAATAAACCTGTCCTCGCAAGGCATTCTTGGCGAATGCAACATACAGCCGCTAAGAGCGGACGGAGTTGCCAGAGCCTTCCCGGAAGCTTGCAAACCTATCCGGTCTTCGAGCTCAAAGGACCCGAGCACTCCACAGGAAATCCTAAACCCCAAACCCGAACCCGACATCCTGAACCCCACGTCTGCCTTTGATGAGCAGCCACCTCGAGTGTTCCACGTGAGGATGCTTCTGCCAAACTAAAAGCAGCTTGAATCATCCAGCAAGCAACTAGCCGCGAGGATCATGCTGCAACCACTGGAAACTCGGATGAACCAAGTATTGGCGGAGGAGTAGGTGGTCCTCCGGCAAAACACGCGCATCTGCACGACTCGCGCCAAGCAGAAGCTCATCCTTTCCCTCATCTTACATGCATCGCAGAGGGCTGGTCCAAGACAGCCCATCCACAAGGCGCATCTCTGCTGGCAGAGGGTTCGGGCAGACTCCATGCATGTAGCCAGCACCCAAAAGCAGGGTCATCAGTACCAAGGAGAAATAGGTAGCTGGAAGCATGAACGCGGCCACCTCCCACAAGTCCAAGATACCAGTGCCGTGCAAAGAGAGCGGTGGCGAAGCCCATGCAACTCCAACCTTGTCGATGCACAAGAGCTGCCGTGGATGCAGGATGGGATGCGCTGCATACACTTCAAGAAGAGCTTGCCGCCAGTAACTGTTCGGCTGCATCCTAAAGCTGATCACGAAGTCCTCCACGAGCTCGGCGAGGACACATGTAATCATGAGGCATATGGACTCAATGTTGAAGACAGAGCTGGCCCAATGGCCCGAGATGATATCTGCCGTCAAGAAGGCTAGTACGGAGACATACTGAGCATATCCTGACCAAAGCTTTGCCTCCTGATGCAGTACCATGCCGATGCCGGGGAGCCACCACCTGGCCAGGAATGGAAAGAAGTAGGCCAGCAAACTGAGGGTGCCGTAGCTGCGCTCGAGCAGATTCGCGCTCAGGTTCAACGCAATATTGAATGGCCACCACCATCCACCAGTGCACATGGTAACCTGCGCTGCTGCCAAGGAACGTGCCACCACAACGGGATATACAGAAAACATTATGGTAACTCAAGTTCATCTCAACAAGAACCCAGCAACAGAGAGCAGGCTCACAAGGCGTGCACTCTCGCAGAAGGAGTGCGTCAGTGCAACCGGCAGCATGAGATGCTTCCGCTGATCGCCTAGGATTCCTTTCCCATCCGGCCGAGAGCGCACGTTGTAGACAAGGCCGGTGTAAAGCCAGGTGGTCATGCTGCTTACAAACTTTTCTGTCAAATTCGTAGCCACAGTAAGAAACACAGCCGCCCAACTCTTCGAGTAGCTCTCGAGGTTCATGAACAACATTGAAACAAAGTACAAGAGTATCCAGCTGCCAAACGTAAAGAGGATATGCGCGCAAGTCCACAGAACGTGGTTGAGCTTGTGAGCTGACTTTGCTGCTTCACCGCCTTCGCTGTTATCAGGGTCCTCCTTCGAGGAAATCTGAAAGCGGGCACAGCAAGTGTACCAGACCGCATGAAAGACTACCGAGACAAAGGTGTAAGCGACAGCGCCGACAAAGAAGGCCGAGAAGAGAGGGCGGTAATCTCCTGATGCCTGCCTTGACCAGATGAAAAAGAAAGAGAACAGGATGCACGCGGAAAGGCCCCCAAAGAGGCGCATTCCCAATGGGAACTTGGTGCCAGCGAGGCAGTTTGCCCAATAAACGTAATATGCCGCAAAGCCATATGGAAAAAGCCCTACGGTGAAAGTGCCACGCCACCATGGCAACTGATCTGGCGTGTTCGGGGTCTCAAAGATACGCATGAACCAGCAGTAGATGGTCAAGTGGACGAAACTGTACAGACAACTCCAGAAGCAAGTCCTGGCACTCATCGTGGTCAATGGCTTCGCATCCTCGAAGTGCACGCTCAAATCTAGCTCATGTGCAAGATGCATCGTGTCGCACGCGGCCTTCAGCTGTTCACCAAACGCCTCTCCAGCAAAGACAACCGCACCACACATAGACCAGAGCTGAGTGCCATCAAGGCCGTCAAGGACCTCAATACCACAAGCTCGACCCTGAACATCCTGAGTGATGGAGTAGACCTGACCGTCCTCCAATGCGACTATGTCGGGGCCCTGCCTGCAAACTGCAGATGACCAGCATCGGTAGGCCGCCTTGAGCTCCTCGACTTCACGCACATTGGTGCGAGTCATACTTGGGGGCTGCCAACAGAAGTCGCGAAGACTGAAGACAGCACGACGAAGCTCAGACAAGGGGTGTAGGTTAAGAGTAGCCATGTTTGAAAGAACCGGCATCTGCTCGGTCCACAACAAACATGCCCGGCCGCCCGCAAGTCGTCTCCGATGTAGGATCTCTGCCGCCACAGGTCCACTTCCCACAATAATCAAATTCAGATCCGCCAAGCTCACGGTGACATTTTTGCCTGAAGTGAGCAGCCGGCCGCAGGAGTCACAAGCTTTCTCCTCCTCAGAGGCCTCCTCAAAGGCCTTGCCAGAGGCCTTCCCCAAGGCCTTGCCCTCGACCTCCTCAGGCCGAATTTGAAGCTCGGCCCAGGATCGCATGTTACGGAAGGAGCTCTCATTTTCTGGGCTTCTTCCCTGGTCGCTCCAAGGCGAAGGTCTGCGTAGGAAGATCTGAGGGCTCTCGGGGGAATCGGGCGCGACGGCGGTGAAGCAAAGGCGGGCGCTGCGCGCACTCTCCGACCGACCAAGGCATTGTGCCTCCATGTGCGGCCGTGGTCGAAATTCCTTGAAAATTGCAGCCGCGGCCACGGCGCCCTGAAAAACAAGCTAAAGTCAACTAACACATAGACACGGTCTGCTCATGCCTTGGGCATCTCGAGCAGTCTTGAGCCACCAGCCAGGAAGTGCATACCGAAAGTCAAGCAGACACGCGGCTTAAATCGGCTTCCCAGCACCGACGTGTCTCTGTTCTGGCCTTGCCTCCGGCGCCATCCAAAGCAGCGACCCCGTGGCTCGGAAGGTCGTCGTGAGGTCCTGGCAAAACTTACGAAGCCAACACTTCCCCAAGAAATCTCTCCCGAAGTCTCCGTCGGCTCCACCGGCCAGGCCTTCGCCCCCAAAGAACCCTTCGAAACAAAGCTCCCTGAACGATGAGACTGCTTTGAACGGAGAGAGAGCAGCGACAGGCTTCCCTCAACCGGCATTCCACTCCTTAAAAAGACAGCTGCAAGCATCAAGCTCAGAATTTCTCACTTATCAGTCACACCCCAGACCAAACACCATAAACACCAAACCCAAACTGAAAAGAGAAACCCGGTCTCCTCCTGACAGCGCTTGGAGCAACCGAAATCTGCCAGCTTCACGTTGAAGTCCAAATCCAAAAGCCTCAGATGGAGAGCATAGAATACACACTTTTGACATGCAGGCATACATGCATATGTTTAGTTCATGTGTTGTTTCTCCAGCGTATTTTGTGTTTCTATTTGCGTGCATGCGTGCGTGTTATGTACTCACGCGTGTATGACTCTATGTGTACACACGCACATATATATATATATGCACGTATCTATGCATCTGTGTGTGTGTGTGTATGTGTGCATGTACATGTATATATCTACACGTAGAAGGACTCTGTCAAAGCTCCCAAAAACCGCCTGCCTTGAACTTGTAGGAGACTAAAGGCTTCTGCCAGCACGGCATGCTTCAAGCTGACAAGCCCTGAGCACTCCTAAAGCACCAGGAAACACGTTCGCGCTCTTGATGTCTCTGTGAACGACAACAGGGCTTCTGGTGTGAAGGTAGGCCAAGCCTGCGCGCGAGGGCGTTTTGAAAAGCACTCTTATGGGGCATCTGCCATCAGCTTGCAAGGGCTTGAATGCATTTGGCATACACCACGTCCGAGTCCAGCCTTGCAGCATTCCCAAAACTGTATTGCGCAGGAGTAGTCCTGCACAGCTTCATGTGAATGTTGGGGCACAAGGGCGACTTCAGCAGATCAACTTCCCGGCAACCGTTGATGGAAGGAAGGGCAACAGTTTTATCACCTTTTCGGAGCAATCACAAGACGCTGAAACCCTTCCCATCTGGAGCCCGACGGGCATCGCAAACCCCATCACTTCGCGGCCCGGCGATTGCTGGGAGCTCTCGAGCATCTGTCCCGCTCTCTCTCTCTCTCTCTCTCTCTAGCAGGCCAGAGGAAGCCGGGACGTCCATCTCTCTCTCTCCCTCTCTCACTGTGCTACCTACTGGCAAAGCCCAGTACAAACATGGCCCGTCCGTCGAGCGCACCAAACTCTTTGAGCATGGTTGCCAAGGACCTGGGCCAGTGCTCAGTCCCTAAGCGGCAAGGGACTCCAATGCCTCGCCACTTTGGGGAGTCACAGAGCTTAGACATTGATCCCCCAAATATCATGCACGCACTCCTGCAAGCTTGATTTTGCCGGGCTCATCATCACATGCAGAGAGAGCGTCGTCTAAGGCCGTCTGGGGTCCCTGCCCTCCCTCTGCGAATTCCATAAAAATGTACCTCACTCCACGAACGCTGCTTCCCGCCCGACTTCCCGAAAGAAGACACAACATGAATGCTTACAACATGAATGCGTCCCGAAAGATGCCCGCGCCGTACTTAATTGCAACCATGAGGTTCCGAACAGAGGCCCCCGAGAGCACAGGGTGTCGCTGCAGTACTCGTGGCCGTAGCAACCTCATTGGCCCAATTCGCAACTTTGAAGCCCAGAAGGACCGAAAAGTGCTCGCCCTTAATGGGAGCACGACAGCAGGAAAACACAAACAAATTCAAGCCCCAGCTGCAGATGATGTTCGGGTGCCGCAATGAGCGCAAAATGTCCTCAGAAGCTTAGCGAGGACTCTGGCGAAAGTAGACATGCCGAAGTCATCGGAAAAAAGCTCCACTTCGGGCTAGTCCTGATTTCCGGGTTCATACGCATCCCGGAGATTGGCTCGATGGATGAGTTTGCCATTGTCCAGCTTGCATCTCTGTGTGTCCCGGGCCAAATCGAGAGGTGAGAATGCCTAGATGGCTACATGTTCCGCCCTTTTCCAACAAGCTGCAACGACTGCTGCAAGTCTTGGGTAAGGTCTTGCCGAGGCCAAACCGCCTCCATAGTGGGTCTTCCAAGTAAAACAACAGAATGAGCCTGCCTTTGGACGAGCCCGAGCTCAGCATCGGACAAGAAGAGTCTCACTTGCAAGCCCCACAGCGCTCTCGCAATGGCTAAGCCATTCGACCCGAGGTGATCTCAGTCGGGAAAGCTTGGCTCCTAACTACCAGGAAACTCGTACACTAACACGACTCGACAACTGCGAGCACAGTCAAAGTGCGTCACAGAAGGAGCACTGCATTCTGCTTGCTCTCGGAACCTGGGGGGGCAAGAGTACATATACCATATACTCCTCTCAGGCCACAAGCCTCATATCCCGAAGAAAGACTCCTCCCACACGATATCTGCAGGGTCAAAGATCTGATCTTTTGTCTCCGGCTCTTTCCTGGCCTTAGGCATGTCGGCTGCTACCGACCTGATACCGCAGTGTTTGGGTGTGCCACCAATCATGACTGACCTTCTGCAGCAGAGAAAGAGATGAGGCAGACCAATGATCGTACCGGAAATGATCATCACGCCAAGCAAGTACATGGGCATCGGATGCAAAGGGGATGTCCAAACATCCCTTGGGGAGAATGCGTTGGAGAGAGAATAGCCCACGACCACCACCACACTGACCAGGAACATGACCAGTGCTTGGCAAGCGACTACGAGGCACTTGCAGCACGACCCCCTCCACCGACGACTGCCGACCTTTCCCAGTAGCAGAAGACAGCGGATGAAGACTGGCATATAAAACAGGAAGTAGAGACCCAAGCACAAATTTGTGTATGTGCTGAGCCAGCCGTGGTGAAACAGCATGACCACCTCTCTTGCAATGAAGTCAGAAAAGAAGGGGAAAGCACCGATTGCAGCGGCTGAGATCAATGGGCGCATTAGCATGCCATTGCGTGAAATCCTCTTCTCAACCGAAGGTATTAGGTGCCTTTCCAAGTGCCCTTTGAAAACTGCTTGAATCAGTTCCACGTCTGCAGCATCCGCACGGGATCCGGACCACATCCGCAGCACGCCATAAATGAGCTGCCGGTCGCAATCCAGCTCTGCTCCAGTGGAAGGGTGCCGATGGTGATTGGAGCAGCAGAAGCATTGGGCGGTGCGTATATCAAAATCATGCAGGACTCTGGGCAACTGCACAAGGTCGGACATCATCTGATTCAAAAGATAGAACAACGGCGGGTAAAGCACACAAATCTGCACTGCCACAACCAGACCCAAATTGATCTTCCCGCTAAGTGTGTGCCACTGAAAGAGGTAGTGGCCAAACCGCTGTGCAAGCAGGAGCGTGAGCCACGTGGTGGACACGGCAATATGGGTCAGGATCCATATAACCGAGATTTGCACTGGCACGAACTTGATTCGATCCGCTTCCTTGCGCCTCATCAGGAAGCTAGCAATCTCATACCTGGGAAGTGGGACAGAAACGAGGATGGTTTCCTGCTAAGCTCACTGTGCAGCGGTGCCTACGTGAAATAGAAAGAATCAAGAAAGCATATGGGCCTCGAGCACAACACACATGGATACTTTAACTTGAGCTGAATTAATGGGGAGAGCTTTTTTTTGACCCCCCCCCCTCTTTTTTCTGACCCTTTTGTCTTCTAGTTAACCCCCCCCCTCTCCTTTTTGACCCCCTGACAGCTTCTTTT